TGTTTTTCAGGATCATCCTCATTCAATTCCGCACAGCTGGTGACGATTTCTTCATTCTTTGACTCGGAAACAACCGAAACTTCCGTGCTGGTCACCTGTCCTGTGGGATGTTCCTCAACACCCAGTGATGGAATAGTGACTTTGCTGGCATTGAGTTTATACAGCTCATTATTATACAGATCGTCGTTGTACAGCATGACGTTGGTCACCGTCACGTGGCCGCCCGTTGCACTTCGGTCATTACTGTCCCCACCGATGTAGAAGTGTGAGATCCTGTGCGAGTTGAACAGATCCTCATTATAGCTCTTGCGGTCGATTTCCCTCTGATCCAAAAAGGCAGTCCATTCATCATAATCCATTTGCAGTACCACCCGATACGTCTTGTTTGGTTCCCACGCACCAACACTCTTCGAAATAGCACGTTTCTCCGCTATGGCCAGCCACTTCCTGTCATGGGTGTACGACAGACCAAAAAGCACCGTGCCTTTGGTGTCATTCATCCTCACGCCAATCAAAGGGATGCTGTCTTCCCTCGGCACCTCGTGGATGGACACCGTCGCCACAAGAGTGAGCCTGTTGTTTGCAAAGTAGTACGGCACAGTCTGCCCCAATTTACCAACAGGCCACTCCGCCCCTGCTCTGGGCCCTTGGAACGTCACTCCATTGGGAACCCCTATCCTTTTTTCCGCTGGGCCATGGACAATGGCGTTCACGCCGAGTTACTCGTCTCGCCACTCGGTCACAGTTGAGCTACCAGACAAGAAGCCAACAAGCCCGTCAGTGGGAACAGGACCATTGCACATGCCCCTTTCTGAGCGCGTCAACATTGCCGCTGGAACCGGAACGGCATTATTGCAAGGCGCTGTCCAAATCCTTCCATGTCTTCACCACTTCCTTTACCCGCTCCAGTTTCTCGGTCAGACGCACAGCAACAAGATTGTATGCTCCATCGCTCTTCTTCCTGTTCTCGTACAGTGAAATCAACTCCTTATTTTTATCCTTTATCAGCAGCGAGCTCGCGGCGGCGTCATCATCTTCACGAGATACCGGCCCAACATCATGCACACGTGCCTTGTCCGTCACCCAAAGATGGAGCCGACCCTTTCCTCCTTCATTTTCCTCCCTCGGATACACCGGCGCGGTGATGAGCACCACCTTCTTTTCCTCAATGATTGCGGTGGTGGATCCACTCCGGACACCGTACCCTTTCGATTGTGTGAGTTGCCCCACACGCGCGTAATTGGCTGACCCGACGTATACCAATTGACTCCATGCGGAGTGGACCTGTAAACGTCATAGTAGTCTCCAGCACAATGAGCCATCATGAAGAGTCTTTCGTCGTCCTCGTCTTCTTCCCACTTCACCAGGGTTGGATCCCTGCAGCCCTTACCAGGCGTCTCGGATGAAAGCTCCCATTTGTTCTCCGACTTGGGGAAACGCATAGACAGCAAAACGCTCGTTCCATCCTTGTCTTTGGCCTGCATGGGAAACACAGGCGTGCCGTCACGCAACACAGCACCCGATCCTCCACCGCCAACTAACTCGGTCAAGGAACGAGAATCCCCTCTGCCTTGAGGCTCCACCACATGGGTCTCATTCCATTTGATTTTCTTCCTTCCACCCTCATCAGTGAGAGTTCCCTTCAAAAGTAAAAGGCCCCGCTCATTCGTGCCCCCAACCTGCGGCCCTGTATGGCTGTAGTTTCCCGGGAGCACTTAGACACTGTCCCCAAGTACAAGTGTAGTTGGTCGCGTTATGCCGTTCCTGGCGCTGATGAACTCAGACCCTTCCTTTAGAAGATCTGCGCCAAATATACTCGCATCGGCCGTCAAGATCTCCGTTGGATCAGCAACACCACTTAAATCAAGGTACTTTGACGCAATCCCAGTAAAGCCGACGTCGCTGCAGTCGCCCCCATCCTTGCAATGGACTTCGGCAATAGCAAATACATGACCCTGCAGATCAACAGGACTGGGACCACGAAGCGAGCCATATTTACCACCAGCGTCAGGAACATCCTCCCAGTTGTCAAGTTTTTCCCATCCAATCCCCATCAACGAATCAACTGCTTTCCTCACATTACTCCCCCAGCAGAAGCACCTCCACCAATCCCACAGCACGTCATCACGAAAAAAGGAGCAGCATCACCGCGGAAGCAAACACACGCCGGGACATGTTGGGCCTCTGCGGCTCACTCTCTCCTCCTTCCCTCCTCCCTCCGCTGGATCCGGTCACGCGGCGACGGTTGTGTGTGCGGGGTGCCTTCACTGCAGCAACACGTGAGAGCATATAAATATGTGTGTGTGGGTGGTGTGTGTGTTGTTGGTCCTATCAGTGCCTTCCAATTTCACAGTGGTAATTATCGCTTGTTTTCCTTCTTTCCTAGCGTTTGTCTGTGTACATGCGGTAAGGGAAAAAACAGCGGCGGCAATACAGCTGACAAGTCAGTGGGGAGCAGAGCACCCACGCAGAGAGCGGGACACAAGACAATCCGGAAGGGACGACATGAAGAAACATCGCCCACAGAAAAGAGCAATATAAAAGCAAATCAAGGCGGAACCCACCACACACAGAGATGCAAAAGGACTCGTCAAGATAGCCACTTTCTGGTGGATCTCCCTCCCCAATCCTCCCCTGTGGGCAGCACCGCTTCCGCCCCTCTTTGCGTTCCCTTACAAAGCCAAAATATACGCATGCGCACTCCCCCCACATACTTGCGCAGACGTGTGACATTAAAAACAATTACACATAAGCGCCTCCCTCCCCCCATCTCGAAAAAAAAAAAAAACGAAAAATCCCTCTTTACCCTCCGTACCCGCCAATTCTTGTTGCTTCCTTCTCTTTCTACCTCCATCACTACTGATACTGCTATATATAGAGAGAGAGAGAAGTAAATGATGCTAATTCCAATTCCGCACAATTTTGCCGTCCCAGTTCAGTTTATCGCCCTTTTGCATTGTGTAATATCGGTGTGTCTTCCAGCGACGCCACGGTGAGCCCGATTTCCCCCAATGTGGATTTGCCTCCCAGTATCTCTCAATGCGCTCCTCCAACATGGGTGTAAAGTGTCGTGCGAGTCCCTGCACAGGCCATGCTGCTGCCGTTGCCAGCGCACAAATAGTACGACCCTCCAACTGCTTCGAAACGTCAAGCATGGTGCCAATTTCTTCCTTCTTGGCATTACCGTGAACAAAGCGCCGCATCATCTTTTCTAACCACGGGGAGCCCTCACGGCATGGAGTGCACTGCCCGCAGGACTCATTTGCATAAAACTTGGAAATGCGGTGGATTGCGGCAATAAGATCCGTTGTTTTGTCCATCACAATCACTGCTGCGGTGCCGAGTCCTGTCTGGACCTCCTTAAGTGAGTCATAGTCCATGAGAACATTATCGCAGATGCTCTTTGGAATGAGCGGACAGGAAGAGCCGCCGGGAATGACGGCAAGAAGATTGTCCCATCCGCCTCGAACCCCACCGGCGTGACGCTCAATGAGATCACGCAACGGGATGCTCATCTCATCCTCCACCGTACATGGACGATTCACGTGGCCACAGATGCAGAAAAGCTTCACACCCGCATTGTTCTTGCGACCAAACGAGGAGAACCACTGCGGTCCACGGCGAAGAATCGTCGGTGAAACAGACACGGTCTCCACATTTGTCACGGTGGTGGGGCAACCGTAGAGACCAACATTCGCTGGAAATGGCGGCTTTAGTCGCGGTTTCCCGGGCCCGCCCTCAAGACTCGATATCATCGCCGTCTCTTCGCCACAAATGTACGCACCGGCTCCACGATACGTGTATAAATCAAAGTCATATCCGCTCCCACATGCGTTGCGGCCCAAATACCCCTTTGCGTATGCCTCTTGAATCGCCCTCTCCACGCTGCGCCATTCATTGTAGAACTCTCCACGGATGTAGATAAATCCATACCTTGCACGCATTGCAAATCCAGCAATGAGGGCACCTTCCACTAATTTATGAGGTTCGTGCCGCATAATCTCGCGATCTTTGCACGTCCCCGGCTCGGACTCGTCACCGTTAACGACCAGATAACTTGGACGCCCGTCGGGCTTCACTTTAGGCATGAAAGACCACTTGAGCCCGGATGGAAAACCCGCGCCACCTCGACCCCGCAGACCGCTTGCCTTCATCTCCGCAATCACCCAATCGTGACCTTTCAGCAAAATATCCTTCGTACGGTACCAATCACCTCGTCTCTCCGCGCTGGCAATATTAGTGCCAAAGTCATTGTATAAATTCAAAAATATGCGGTCTTGATCTTTTAAACCACCGTGTGTCTTTTCCAACAACGATACCGTCAAGGAAAAAAACCCCGCAGCACGACGAAGCATCGATAAAAATCCTAAAAAAGAGAAATGCCTG